TCATCCTGTCATTATTTTATAAGGAAAATATGGACTGCACGGTTGGCGCGGTGATTGGGCAACTGACTGCCGCGCAACGTGTCGCGGGTTCGATTCTCGCACGGAACAACTCTTTGTGTGATCCACAGATTGTTGTTCCCGGTCTGGGTGTCATGTGTATATGAACTTGTATGTTTGTAAACGCACCCACAACACAGGAGAAAATCTTAGTGTGAGGCAACGTTTTTTTTTTTAAATATAGGTAGGTATAGTGGCTATCAATTTTTCTTAAACCAATGTAGTCAAAATTAAAACTAAATAGCTGGGAGCTGACCAAATATGTACCTACTACATGGCTATGAATATAGCGCAAACCGGGAAACAATTTAAAATGATAACAGTTGAAACCGTTGCCGTGTTTCTTTTGTGTTCCGTAGCTTGCGGGCCTAGCATTAATATTCGAATTTCATATTTGGAATAATATTATGTTTCGAATGTTGATAGTTCCAAATATGAATGCTTGTTAATGTTGTTTTTTTATTAAATAGTATAATGAAAAAAGTAAAACTATTACGCTGTGATACAGACAATAAACGTACACAAGTAAAAAAAATTGAATGTGTTATTGATGATAGTTCACCATTGAGGTCACATTTATTAATAAGAAATAGTTTTAAAAAGGATCCGTTAATTTTTTGGCTCTAAAATAACAAACTAAAAGGCATTCTACTGAGCATGCTCAAAAATGTTCGAACGCCTGTCGATTCACAAGCATGCTCGAATTGAGCATGCTATTTTAAATAACATTCCAACACATATGCAACTAAGTGACAAGTGCTCATTTGAAGCATGCTTGCGTGCTTGAAATTAGCATGTGTTTTTTTTGAAGTCATGAAGTCATCGAATGACTTCTCCCGCCCAGGTGAGGCGGGAGGGAGTGTCAGACTCTTACTGACTAAATACCACCCCGTTCCTACTCATGTCCTCCGCGGCTCCGTATCGGCATCAGCCCTATTGGGTCCCATCCGTGGTGGTATGATGACTCTTTGAGGCGCGCGCGGAACGCGACGCGCCCTACGCTCGGGTCTGGTTCTGGTATGCTCGCCGTTCGCAGGCCCGTGAAATTAGCATGTGTAATAGCATTTTTAGTCTAGTTGAATATAAAGACAGAAAAAACGCCAATGCTAGGAATAATCTTAATCAGTGCCGATTTTATGTTGATGACCCATAAACCAATATCTAATCTCAATCTTTCGATTATCATCGGTGAAGATATCATAAATGTGCGCCTATTATTATAAGAAGGGTTCTTATTTACAGTACTACAATTATGTGTTTAGTTAAGAATAAGAATAGGTAATTTTTATTTCTCAAAAACAAAGGACAAGTTTACCTGTTATTTAAGAAAATGCGGTAAACTATTGAATGTATAATAATATAGAAATCATAATTACAACTGCAGAGTAGACCAAAAATATACTTTAAATGAAAACGAGTTGAAAATATGACGGTGTTCAATAATGTAAATGATGTACATATCTGTCTGTCTGTATTGTGTACGTCTCCTCAACTAATTTCTACACTACTGTACATATACAGTGAAATAGTTAATAATATTTATATGTTTACCAGTCCAAATGTTTTGTCCTTTTAGCTACTAACAACTGAAAACTACCGCAAAGTTAAGTTCGACGGTTCATTAATTTGCTGTCACTACTCGACACTGGCATTATAGTCGACAACATCGTATAGTAGACTCGGTTGCCAGAGGAAAAAAAATAGTATATAATTCAATTGCAATTCCAAAGTTACCATAAACAGTGACATTTCTAGATAAGCAACACTAAATAAAAAAAAGTTACTATTTATTAGGAAATATTATGATTTTATTAATTATGGCAGCAACTTCATAAAAGAAGCAATCAACAATACCTACTTACGGGCCAAATTAAAAATGTAATCTTTATAATTTTCTAACAAGAAAATTCTTAAACAAAGTCTAAAACAAATATAATTCGATACTTAATAATGAGACAAACAGCCTTGTAAACGAAATAGCCAATAAATTCAGTTTTAAAAGTAATTTAATCAAGGCATTCGAGACGAGACGGGTAACGTCACAGTATCGATTCTTGTATCAAAATTTATACACAAAGTTGCAATGTATCTGTTATAGGGAAAAGTTTTTCAGTAAGCTTACCTTTATGAAAGGTATAAAGGATATGTTTTGAGTTATGTGAGTGTGAGTGTATTGTAGAGTGGAGAGGTAATATTCATTTTAGGGACGTAATAAGCACACTTAATATAAGAAAAATTCCAAAATCGTCAAGACTTATCGACTTCAAGTTTTATTCAATCTTTGATAGATTCAATCATCAACAATCTATAAATGCCCACTGCTGAGCAAAGTCTCTTCTCACACGGAGAAGGTTCCAGCAATAATCGCTACGCTTGCTCAATGCGGGTTAGCAATTTCAAACTTATAATTAGAGATTATAAGTCCAGGTTTTCTCACAATATTGTCCTTCACCGTTTGTCAGTGTTGTCTAAATAATCTTAGAAAGTACATATAACTCGAAAAAAGTCACATTGGTACTTGTTGTTGGTAGGTTTCGAACCCTCATGCATTAGAAGCAGGCGTCTTAAAGTTCCGGGCTACTATGACACAAGTTAGTAGAATATTATAACTGAGATTTACAAGACAGTAAAATCAATAATTCATTTAGGATCAGGAATCAAACATTTAGTCTCATACTAATCGTACTAAATCTACACACATAACATAACATCACGCCTTTTACCCTCGAAGGGGTAAGCAGATCATATCAGAATGCCTACAGCCTACGGCATTCATCGGAACGAGACGAATTCAGAAGTAATTTCCTTTGTATGAAATATGTATTTATCCGGAATTGTGATTGGAATACGTGGAAGAACTTATATTATAACTTTCAAGTTTCGTATTAGTATGAATATTACATGATAACACATAACATAACATCACGCCTTTTTATCCCAGAAGGGGTAGGCAGAGGTGCACATTTCGGCACTTAATGCCACTGTACAATGTAACACCCACTTTTCACTATTTATGTTATGAGTCCCAAGTAAAAGGGGGGAGCCTATTGCCATATACCGGGCACAATTCCAGACGCTGTGCTACTAATGAGATTTATTTTAAACACAGTAATACTTTGCCTGACCCGGGAATCACACTTGCGACCACTCGGCCAACGAGGCAGTATGTATAATCTCTGCATCAGTTTATCATGAAATCAAACCAGTTTACCTATTAGCTGAACACGTTAAATTAAATCAGTATTCAACATGGTTAACAATAGTTACCAATTTATTTGTTCAGTGTGAAAATTACACATCATTACTTTGTACACACGGCTACACATCAAGCTTTACATAACCAGTATAAACTGAACGTTAAATGTGCGGAAAGATGATGCGACGCGACACCAGGATACACTGGTTTTGTACAGATTGATGTGTGGTCGTGTTTACCATGATCGCCTTTACGAATGAAATACCTGAATTCAGTGGGAAGCACTGAAATATGTGCACAATGCTGATATGAAAATAGATTGTACGATTTATTAATGGTAAATTAACTGGTATACAATTCAATATTACACACTTACGGTGGCCCAGAGTTTTAAGACGCCCCGCTTGTCATGCATGATGGTGTGGGTTCGAAACCTACCTACAGCAAGTACCAAATGTGACTTTTTAGAGTTATATTATAAGGTACTTTCTAAGATTCTTTAGACACAATTCACAATCGGAGAAAAATATCGTAAGGAAATCTGGGCTTATAATTTCTAATAATAAGTTTGAAATCGCCAACCTACCTCTACATAGAGCAAGCGTGGTGGTTCCTTCTCCGTGTGAGAAGAGGCCTTTTGGCTTCAGTGGGCGCTTATAGTTTGTTGATGTGATATGTTGATATGATTCAATATTGTTTTTAAGGTACAACAAGTGAACACTGTCTCGTTGGTCGTATGGTTGCATGGGTAAGCTTAAAAAGAAGTCTTTGGACCCTTCCCGGATCGAGCAAACAATTAATGGCGATTTTACGAAAATATCTCAATAATACATTGTACTATTATAATCCGGGCATAATTCCAGACTCAGTGGTAGGTACTATAACCGATATTTGTTGAATTAAATCCTAGTAAGACTTTTTCTATCACCGAATCAAACCTAAAACCGCTTACCGAGCAGTCAGACTAGCAACCATTTCACCAACGAGGCAGCAAAAGAGATTTTAGAAGAATTATAAGCTCATAGCTAAAATCCAGAGACGTATAGACCGTGAAACAAGGTAACCAGGCCAAGGACGCTCCGTATATGACGTTAACATCGAATATGAGCAAATACGCAACAAGTTATTGAATATTGAACATCTTTCAAATTGAGGAAATGTATCGAGTATTCGTCCTTGTACCCGAGGAGGCCACAATCTTAATAAATGTCAGGCTGTATATTTTACAGGGACGTACACTGGCACATGTCATGGCCACTTTGGATACAAATACTTCGGTATGATACCTATATAGGTACTTGGATTCTCGAAATGTCCACTGATCACATCGAGAACGGGGTTTGAAAAAAATTTGAACGGGCTTGAATTCTCGAAACGTCATTTATAAATGTTGTTTCAAAATTATACCTCAGTGATGTTTTTTCTAGTTAATATTTACGTAGTTATACCTATATACATATTTTTTTATTCGTAATACAGTATTCGTATACAGGGAGTGTCAGACTCTTACTGACTAAAAACCACCCCGTTCCTTCTCCTGCACGTCGAGCCGGAACCCTGGTAAAAAGTATTGTGTTGGGCAACGTTTTTTTTAAAAAAAAATGAATTTTGGCTGCTATAAGTTTCATTTAAGTCTAAGCAAGGTATATCGGTTAAGAATAAGGTGTTTTCTTTACCGAGAGTTTATAGAAATACGGTTAGTGCTGAAAGAAAACTTAATTGAATGTTATTATTAAAAATCGCTTACCTTTTCTTGACAACAGCGATTAGTATTATATGCTGCGTATTCTTGGTTCCGCGTACAGCTCTGAAACAAAATGAAAATATGTCGTTAGTAAGAATAAATAGTGTAATATAACATTAATGTTCGGTATACAGAAGGGAGCATTGGTATCTCAAGCATCTTCTCTCCCAATCTACGGAAGAAGCACGCAGCCGGTAATATAGGTGCTACAAATTACTCTGAGGTGTTAAAAACTACTAAATAAAATTCTCAGTAGGAGCACGGAGTCTGCAATTGTACCCGGTATATGGCAATATGCTCACCTTTTATTACATGGGACTCCTAACATAAATAGTGAAACGCGGGTGTTACATTGTACAGTGCCATTAAGTGCTGTATGATATGCACCTCTGCCTGCTCCATCGGGGATAAAAGGCGTGACGTTATGTTATGTGTAAAAATTACTCCAATAAAATAAAAATACCTTTTATTTTAAACAGGTTTTCGTAAACACTATTGATAATGAAAAAAAAGAGTTATAAGTATACGACTTGTAATAATAATGTTCCACCTCTCACGTTTATTTATATGAAAATAGTTTTCCGGTGATCTGTCTTACTGTTACTGTATCCGTAGATGATGAATAAGTTCTGTGTATCATACAATAATAATACATCGTGATTTGAGTCATAATCACTTCAGAAAAACTGATTCAGTTTTATGAATAGAAATTATGATTCATTTGATACTAGCGACCCACCCCGGTTTCGTACGGGTGCAATATGCATGTATTATACATATAAACATTCCTGAAAAATCACTCTATCTATTAAAAAAAAACTGCATCAAAATCCGTTGCGTAGTTTTAAAGATCTAAGCATACATAGGGACAGACAAACGGCGGATAGCGACTTTGTTTTATACTATGTAGTGGTGAGAAATGTATCACTTATGTTAATAATAATAAATTGTAAGTATAAGTTCTTATACTGTTATTTAATAATAGTGCACACAGAAAGTAAGGCTACAAATTACAATAATGTTTCTTGCTCTTCCACACAAATGTGACTAAGAAAATATTCCAACACCACTTTGATGTCTCCAATCGTTTGTCAGAGCACTTACTAGCTTGACTAGATTTGATTAGACTAAATTACAATATATTTAACAATCAATGCTTCGATTTTTAAGTTAGACATTGATAAACAACAATCTATATAATAATATAAGACATGAATCCCTCGTTACCTTGGTCACGGCATCACGCGTGAATGGCTGGACCGATTTCACTAATTCTTTTTGTTTGTATTTGTTATTATTAGGAGAAGGTATTTAAGACAGAAAAACTCCTGAAATCCTATTGAAACGGGAGAAAACGGGATCGCGCGTACGAAATCGCGGGCAGAGGCTTGTTACCAAAAAAAAATAACAAAATGAAAAAGCCATCACGTTCATCCTATGTGCGTGACATTTTTCACCGTATGCCAAAGAAAAAAACCCCTGCAAATTCTTTAACGTGAATAATACAATCATATATATGCATATACGTCTGAATTCCATACATTTTATTTGCAAAATTCCTTCACGACTTGGAAATTCGGTGCTCGCGAACTCGAATACCGGGTATAACCGGATAACTGGGTTCAGTCACGTGGAAATATAACCGGGTTGACGGAATCACTTACTAAGGGAGTACTTCTTTATATCTGGGCGTTGTGAACATGAGTTCTTATGTACTTCATTGTACTTCTCAATATTAATAACTAGCTTCTGCCCGCGACTTCGTACGCGCAATCCCATTTTCCCCCCGTTCCCGTTCGTGATTTTCGGTAAAAAGTAAAAAAAAGTATTCTATAAAAAGTATCCTATGTCGGTCTCCTGGCTCTAACCTACATCCCCACCAATTTTCAGCCAAATCTATTCTGCCGCTCTTGAGTTATAAGTGGTGTAACTAACACGACTTTCTTTTATATGTATAGATAATAGGAGTTCTGTGATATTTTATTAAAGTTTATATTTGGTTGTATAATGTTATTTCATGTAGACGAGGTCCAGAGTCCAGCTGGCTTATAATCCAGCTGACTGTCACACACAGTTGATAATATAACATAACATATTAACATAACATCACGCTTTTTATCCCCGAAGAGGTAGGCAGAGGTGCACATTACTACACTTATTGCCACTGTACAATGTAACACCCACTTTTCACTATTTACGTTACGAGGTCCATGTAATAGGGGGTGAGCCTATTGCCATATACCGGGCACAATTTCAGACTCCGTGCTACTTCTGAGAATTTTGAAAAACCTCTGTAATACTTTGCCCAACTCGGGAATCGAACCCGACACCTCTTGTCCGGCAGTCGCACTTGCAAACACTCAACCAACGAGGCAGTGATAATATTGATGGTGATAAGTTTGTGCATTGTGTTTGGTCCAGCATCCCGTATTAAAACCTAAGATTTCCTCATTGTCTTCGTGAGGCAAGGAGTAGGAAAATTGAAGAGTGATTTGAATATGTATCTATCTGAAAGTTTACTTTTAAATTAAAGGTTTTTTTTTATAAAATACTAGCAAACCCGTCGAACTCCGTTTCGCCACCAGATGGCTTCGTTTTATGTAACATTTCGTTTGGTGATTAAAAGATGAAGAATCATTTTTTTTTGTTTTATATTTTATAAACCTCACAGAGCCCGAGACCTTTCCAACGAATGCAAAACCGTGGAAATCAGTTCGTGCGTTCTGGAGTTATAGCGTCAGGAAGGAAAACCTGACTTATTTTTATATAGTAGATAATTATCCGGTCTTTAAAGCAGTCCGGAAATCAACAATTTAAACATGTCATTATAATTATTAATTTCACTTTATTACTATAATCTCCATAATCAGGTCACAGGTTCAACCTCGTGTTGGGAGTTTAATTAAATATGGGTTAGGTACTTTATAGTGCGTGTGTTAATATTAAATCGTATAGGTGTGTGGCGGGTGATAAATTTTCCCGTGATGTAGTTTTAATTAACTTTAAACGTAACTACAATTTGTGCTGTGAACATTGGGTAATTACTTAGACTTTAGTAATATACTAAAGTCGTATTTGTTAGGTCTTTTTGTATGAATACTATTCTAATAATGGATTCAATTAAATGTTTTGTATTTATCGTACAATTATTACGTGAAATAAGTTATTTTAAGTGTGTGAGAGCCATGCTTCGGCACGAATGGGCTGGCTCGACCGGAGTGATACCACTGCCGAGCAGAAAACCGAGGTGAAACAACGCTTGCATTGTGTGAGTGCAGTGAGTGAGGTTACCGGAGGCCAATTACCTATTACCCTCTTCCCCAATCTCTACAATCCCCGAATCCCCAACAATCCTCAAATTCCTAATCGCCTAATTGTAACGCCTCTGGTGTTTACGCCTCATATCTGGTGAAACACCAGAGGCGTTACACGCCTCTGGTGTTTCATGTGTCCATGGGCGGTGCCAATTGCTTACCATCAGGTAATCCAAATGCTCGTATACCGGCTTACTCCAAAAAAATCCAATGGTAATTACTTATATTTTTTACTGGTATGACAAGAGTGGTATAAAAGAAAAATCAACTTTATTTCTGGAAAGATCGGAAACTAGTATTCCGGCGAGCAGTGACGGACCGCTAGTAAGTAAATATTAAATTAATATGTAAAGAGATAACTTTTAAACCATCGTTTCAATTAATCATGAACCGAACAATGCCTTAGGCCAAGCTACACACAATTTTCAACCTAAAACCAAAGCCGATATCCATCCCATGTAAACAAAGTATATCGTGACGTTATGACGTCTATTACTAAGCTGTGACGTCACAATGAAACACAAATACAACTATTTGGTGCGCATGTGTGAGTAAACACGTGTTCTATTATTTGCTGTATGGAATTTCGTAATTACCCTCCCTGAGGTCTTAATACTTCTACTCTGAAGGTTCTAATGCCTTAATAATATAGTTTTTTACAAACAGTTTGCTCTTAATTAAGGTTTTTAAATTATACTTATTTTTCTTTCGACTTTGCTTATTTATAGCATTTACCGACGGCTTTGTCCGCGTATTCTTATTTTATCCCATGTAAGCATTTAATTGGGATAAAAGTATACTGTAACCTAAGTTAGCCCAAATTCTGCATACCAATTTTAATCAAAATCAAAATCCGTTGAGTAGTTCAGCGTGATTGACAGATAAACATTCAAACATCCAGACAAAGAAACTTTCACATTTATAATAATAGTGTGAATAGTTTTCAAAATCATCAATGATTTATTTACAGACAAATACGTCACATACAGACCGGGACTATTGCAATAATTTTTTTAATAAAATTAACACTATGTCTATTGTAGGCTTTTGTAAACTAATCTTTACAAACTTGCAAGCATAACTTAACACGTTAAACGACATGGGGGTCACCGGTGACCGGCGTTAGCGGAGGATTTACCTTCAACAGTTTTTTATTGGCAGTCAAAGTCTTAATATACTAGTAAATTCATGCATTACCTTCCGTTTCAGGTACCTACATAATTATATGATATACCAGTTTTGGCAGAAAACCAGTCGTTCAGTGCAAAATAGCTGGCAGTTTGTTAGCACTCTCATTCATATAGACAGTGCGGCCAAGTTGGAAACTGTTGATGCTGAAATATTGTGTGTTATGTTGAAAAGTTCAGCAGTGCCTTCACTGTGAATACTGTTTCGCTGTAACTTAGTATTGAATTGTATATATTATGTTTATGTAGAAGAAGGTCGTATTAGATGTTATAAAAGAGTGCAAAATTATTTCAAATTTTAAAGTGTAGGTATTTCAAATTCTTTTCTGTGTTCATGTGTGATTTTTAAGTATAGACCAGTTTTCACTAATTAAGGCTTTCTATCTACACACCTAAATGAAATCCCAACAAAACGCATTCAGAAAAAATAAACATAACATCACGACTTTTATCCCCGAAGGGGTAGGCAGAGGTGTACATTATGCCACTGTAGAGGTACAATGTAACACCCACTTTTCACTATTTATGTTATGAGTCCCATGTAATAGGGTAAGCCTATTGC